TAATCATAATAGAAATTATCACAAATGCGAAATTTCATTGCAAACTTTTCATTCATCAACTTTTTAATGTAATTATATTATAGAAAATAATATAAATAAGAATAATTTGCAGTATAATAGATATCTTTTTAAAAAAAAGATAAAAAAAAGGCGCCAAATTTACGTGTATCTCCTGTAAACCCAAACCAAAAAAGTGTTATATAAACTAAAAAAAAAACGTTACATAAATCATAAAATTCAAGTAATAATATTGTTAATATTTTATTATAAATTATCCCTCAGTAACTTAAAAAAAAATGCAATTTGCAATGAAATACGACATTTAATCTATTGAAAAAAAATTAAAGATATTAAGCATCACAAAATGAGAAAATTTTATTGAGATAACATAATTTTTTATGTAAAAAAATTTGCCGCGCGCGCTGTTTGACCTCGAAATATAATAAGTAAATGTTACATAAAAGAATTGAACAATGTTTATTACTTAATTGACATTAATCAACATTAAAATTATTAGGTGTTGGAATTAATTCGTAGCGTTTTTTAATGAAAGAATGTTATTTATTTCACATGAGCATTAAAAAATACATTAATGAAAGTACTTCCCATCACTTGTAAAACGCTACGAATTAATTCCAACACCTAATACTATCACAATTACATTTAAGATTATAATTAATTTTAAATCTACTTTTAAATCTAATTTAAATCGCATGTCTTATCGGCATCGCTCGGCGTCGTCGTCGTCAGTTGCCGTCGTCCAGTACCATCGTCGTCGTTGCCATCATTGACGTCTAACGACAACGACGAAGTTGAATCGTCATCCTTATTTATCGTCTTTCTCACTCTCTCTCTCTCTCTCTCTCTCTCTCTCTCTCTATCTTTCTCTCTCTCTCGCTCGTTCCCTGTCGTCATCTCCCTGTTTGCCTAGTATACATAAATTACACCCGTTTTCGCATTAAGAATCACTTTCATTGCTAATTTTACTTTAATTTTATATTAAAATCAAAATTCTATGAAAGCATTATAAACAGCAGTTTAATAGACAAAACACTTTATAGTGTATATGCACTCGTGTCACACGTATGTCTAAAAAATTTGAAAAGCTGTATGGTCCTTTTTGGGGAACGATCTCTAGATCTCGGTATCGGCTTCACTAATCTTATTATTTGGAGTGGTCGCAATCGAAAGATACCGATATATAACATTATATAAGTGTTTTCAGATTTTTGATTGCGATTTTAGTTTCTGAGTAATTTTAATTTAAAGTTGTTGATATCAAAACTATATCAGATAAAGCTAGTGATAGCCTTGCGAATTTGATAACGATATGAATATCTACGCAACAACATTTACATATCAAACCGTCAAGCGATCCGTTTTATATTTTAATTTAAAAATAACTTATTAAAGTAACTATACAGGGAAATTTCGATATATTGTATTAAAAATATATTATTATTATTATCCATAAATAAAGTTAAAAAATAATTAATAATTGCTATTTTTTGTTTTTCTAATTTCTACTAAATAAAATATCTTCTTGCAAAAAGCAATCGTTATCTTAATTCGTTTATGGAACTTTAATTACGCGAGTTAGCAATCACTTACTCTAATAAGCGTGAAGTATTATTACGATGTATATCTTCTAACACTTGTCGAGACCACGTTTCAAGAGGTAATGCACGACGATACACGGAACAGTTAGCGCTACGTCTGTCAACTCGAGTTTCATTGAACGAATGAAAGCAGTAGTAGCGCGAACTTGCTTATGCACTGCGCTAAGCACAACGAAGACACCGTAATAATAAACGCTAAAGCGTCTATAAAATGTTGGTAAATTATCTCAAAGTAAGTATTCTATATTTAATAAAAATTCTTTAAGAGAAGTGAGAATTCATTCTCTTTAAGTAAGATTTTATTCTTTTGAAATTCAAATTAAAGAATAAAGTCTCCAATTCCAAAAAAAAGAAGTAAGAATTTGTTCCTTTGGAATAAATCTCGCTCCAAAAGAAATATTACTTCAAAAGAATGAAAATCTGCTACTTTTTGTTTAATCAAGAATGAAAAGTTTTAATTCATATTTTTTCAAGATTGAGTTTCCACCTCAAAAGATGTAGAGAGTATATTATGCTTTTTGTGCATCAATAAATGAATTGCTAAGTTATATTTTACATTTCGTTGTGTTTTGTGGATTAATTAGCGTTGTCTAGAATAAGGAAATATAAAAATTCGATTGATAAAGCATTTCAGAATTAAAATGTTGTTACTTAATATAATATTTATAATATAATATAAGATCTAGATACTGTAATATATAATATAAGAGCTATATAAATAGATCTATTAAATCTCGTTATCAAACAAATTCAAAAATACAAACATCAATATTTATATGTATTCCATCAAAGAATCATATCTCTGTCTGTAAACAGTTTAGCGACAGTTTCTGCAAACGATTCTTTACATCGTTGCTGTACCTTTCGTGATTAGTTATCAATAATCCTTACAAAACGTTATAATGGCAGAACAAGAAGTAGACGATATTCTAATCCCAGTCGTTGGATACGTGGCCATTATACAAAATTAACAAGTAGTAATGAGGCAAAATGTAATCATTGTAATGTAAAAGTGATTATATATAAGACTAGATTAGTTAATTTACATGAACATGTGGTGAAGAGACATCTAGACATATTATCAGAAGAAGAGAAGAAAGAAGATAAATTTCATTGGACTTGGGACTATTTTATCGCATAAAGCGATAGAGAGGCAACATGCAAAATATGTGACTCATCAATTAAGTACTACAAAATAAATGAACTCAAGAGTCATTTAAAACGTATTCACAAGTAGGTGTACTCGAAGTATTATAAATTAAAAAATTTATTTACGTACTGGAGAACGTAAAATTAATAATAGTAAAATGATCAATGTCAACCAAAGAAAATGTAACGCAAACAAATATACTCAAATAAAGCTAGAAAAATTTATTAAACAGATTTTTGATACATGTCGTCAAATATTATTTGCGCTTTTAAGCATTATAAACGTACAATAAAAAAAAATTCAAAATTTATTGAAATCACATACACAAATTAGAAATTTTAATCAAATATTTAATATATGTGTAGTAATACTGCGCGCAATCAAAAGAATATGGAACACAGAACAAGAATTTTAATCTATTAGGAACTGTGTATTTCACAACACATGATTTCTGAAGGTTGAAATTTCTATTTTTTTAATACCTATTTCTTTGATTGCGCAATTCTTTATAAAACTAATCAGTATTCATTTCTGTTACACAGCCTTATTAAACACAAACTGAATTCCATGTTTCAAATTTACTATTACTGTGTTTAGTATAAAAAATTAGTAATAATGTGAAAAATTCCAATTTTTACCCGATAATTATCAAATTTACAGAATATTTCAATCTGCTTGATCGCTACATTTTTGATCACTATTAAATGTTCAAATAATAGATTTTTTAAAAATTATAATTTAGTTCGCATAACAGAGGATGAGCATAATTGAAAATAATAGCTTTAACGTACTTTTTATTGCTTCTTTAATAATTTCTTATGTAAATGTAGGATATTCAATCCAAATTCAGATCGTGTAGAGAGCAATAGCGAGAGCAATTCAGACAATGAAATGATTGCAGACAATGAAATGAGGATATAACTAAAAAGACAGACAATTTTATCCCTGTTCATCTTTGGATACGTAAACATTACACAAAATTACCAAGGAATAATTTGACAAGATGCAACTATTGTAATGCAATATTCACTATGCAAAATAAGTCTTTAGCTAATTTACATGAACACTTGATGAAGACACATCTAGACAAATTATCAGAGGAAGAGAAGAAAGAAGACAAATTTCATTGGACTTGGAATTATTTTATCGCAGAAAGTGATACAAAGGCAACATGTACAAAATGTGACAGAACAATTACGTACTATTCAGTAACTGATCTCAAGATGCATTTGAAACATATTCACAAGTAGGTATATTCCAAATGAATTAAAAATTAATTACCGTAATAAAGAATATAAAATTAATACAAGTAAAATGATCAAAATCAGCTTAAGAAAATGTAACGCAAATAAATATATCCAAATAAAGCTAGAAAAATTAATTAAACATATTTTTGATGCATGTCGTCAAATATTAGGTGTTGGAATTAATTCGTAGCGTTTTTAATGAAAGAATGTTATTTATTTCACATGAGCATTAAAAAATACATTAATGAAAGTACTTCCCATCACTTGTAAAACGCTACGAATTAATTCCAACACCTAATATGATTTGCACTTTTAATCATTATAAACGTACAATAAAAAAAAATTCAAAATTTATTGATATAACATACACACAAATTAAAAATTTTAATCAAATATTTAATATACGAGATATTTCCCAAAAGTATCCGACCTACCTCCATTTTTCGGCGCTTGGCTTATTCTTCGTCATCCGGTTGGTGGCATCCTTCGAAGTAGTCCCCATTTGATTGAACAACACGCTCATATCGATGCTTCCACTTCCCAAAGCAGTCTTGAAAGTCAGTTATTGGAATCGCCTTTAGTGCATTCGTCGCATTGGTTTCAACAGTCTTCTTGTCGTCGAATCGGTGTCCTTTAAGCGGCATTTTCAATCGAGAAAATAGTCAAAAGTCGCAGGGAGCTACGTCGGGACTGTACGGAGGCTGGAGAAGCTGTACAACACTGTGTTTTGATAAATACTGCTGCACAAGATTTGATGCATTGTAAAGGACACCGATTCGACGACAAGAAGACTGTTGAAACCAATGTGCCGAATGCACTAAAGGCGATTCAAATAACTGACTTTAAAGACTGCTAAATGGAGGTAGATCGGATACTTTTGGGACATACCTCGTATGTGTATTGATACTGAGCGCAATCTAAGGAATAAGGAACGGGGAATAAGAATTTTAATCAGACATTATCTAATCCAACAAGCCATGATTTTCGAAAGGTTAAAATTTCTATTTTCTGTTTCTTAGTTCCTATTTCTTTGATTGCGCAATTCCTTATAAAACCTTGATATAACTCTATAATTCCTAATCGGTATTCATTTATGTTACACGACCTCATTGAATGCAAACTGAATTCCATGTTTGAAATTTATGCATATATATATTATTTCTGTTTAGTATAAAAAAAAAGTAATATTATATAAAATATTCTTATTTTTATCAGACAATTATCAAATTTACAATATATTTGAATCTGCTTCGTCGCTAAATTTTTGATCCCTCCTAAATGTTCAAATAATATGTTCTAAAAAATTTATAATTCATTCCGTACAGCGAAAAATGTACATAATTGAATATAATATATCTACTATACTTTTTATTGCTTTTTTAATAATTTGTTATATAAATGTAGGATATTAAGTCCAAATTCAAATCATATAGATAATGAGAGTAATCCAGATAATGATATGAGTGCAAATGAGGATATATAACTCCAAAGACAGACAATTTTATCCCTGATCTCGTTTTTGAATACGTAGACGTTACACAAAATTGACAAGTAGAAATGAGACAAAATGCAAGATTATTGTAATGCAAGATTTAATATACGTATTAGATCCTTAGCTATTTTACATAAGCACTTCGTGAAGGCACATCCAGACATATTATCAGAAGAAGAGAAAAAAGAAGATAAATTTTATTGGACTTGGGATTATTTTATTGCAAAAAGCGATACAGAGACAACATGTATACTATGTAATGCAACAATTGGGTCTAAACTTACAAGTCGTTTAATACTACACTAAAAACAATGTCTTATGTAAGTATATTCCAAGTAAATTAAAGACATTAATTAACGTTCTGCAAGAATGATAATAGTTAAATAATCAGTATCAGATAAAAAATGTGTTACGCAAATACCCATATATACTCAACAAAAAAATTGTTAGATAAATTAGTGTAATACGTGTCGATAAATATGATTTATAAATGCATCTATTCATATACATATGTATATGCACATATTTATATTATATACAAGGTTTAACTGAAATAACGCTCACTAAGCGTACAGTACTATTCCTTTTATTTATATAAAAATCTGAATCAAAGTGTCCTCTAATATTTTGCAATTTTCGCAATAGTTGACGAGATATTAATTTCTAAAGATTACTAAATCCGATAAAATCGATGAATAAAACAATTTTAAGATATCTTTTAGTATTCTTTGTAAAATATTTTGGAGATGTTTCTTGAAGAATTCTTCAAAAAATATTTTTAAGTTGTCTCGTATACGTTAATTTTAAACATTTTGCTCATTAGATAACTAAAAAAAGTTTTACAAAAATTGTAAAATGGTAAAAGACTTTTCCATTCAGTTTTAAATTAGTAATAATACCATATGAATAATGGGCGTTTTTATTTTCAAAAACACTCTGTATGTATATCTTTATTAAAATTTTAGTTTTATTATATTATGCACATATTTGTGTATTCTTGAATGTGTGCCTACATGGGCGTTCGTGCGTACGTGCGTAGGTGCGTGCGTGCATTCGCATGTACACATGTAGGCATAAATTATACAATTACATACATAATTTATACAACTTCCTCTATAAACATCATTTTCCTTTCAACGTTACAACATTTTTAACATCAATATTTTTCTATAGACAATTACTAAAAGAAAAATTGAATAGC